GGGGGCCTAAACCTCTTTTATGTCCATATAAAAACACATTTCCGTGAGAATTTTACTGCAAAACATTGATTAAAGGCACAAAATATGTCTTTTTTCTGTTTTTAAGGACATTTAGCTATTGGAGTTACCAAACTCTGGCGGCCATTTTTTCGCTAAATTAACTATTGAAACCAGGCGACCTCACTTCCTTCAATCGCAAATATCTTGAGTTCTATTCATGATAGATGGATATTTATTTCCCTGGAAGCAAGGCAAATAAATCAGTTTTTAGATGATACCAATAACTCCACATGCCCAGAATTTGACGAGCGCCTGATTCCACTGCGTCGTGACACATATTTCTCCTCGCAGGAATCGAAACAGGGTCTTCTGTGTGCGGCAGCGAAACGTCTAATCGCTACACCACAGACCTTAACGGGCTGAGTCAAATCAGTCAACCTCCTAAATCATCTAAACTGGATAGAAGTAAATTTTGAATACCCCTGCACCGCCTTTTCTCAAAATGGATTGTAAGCGTCTTTCATGTATGACGTCACATCAACCCAATTGTAGTCCCTTGAAGAGTGAAGACTCCGGATGTGGGTAATAGGTCATGTAAGCTCCAAATGGAGTGTTTAAATTTACTTTTACTCTATTTTACTCTAATCTGTGTCGAGGGTAAATTATCATCACCATCATCATCATCATCATCATCATCATCATCATCATCATCATTGTAAAGAGAGAATTAAAAATAAGGTTGAGACTTGGTGGGATTTCCAAAATATAATACATAATCAGTTAAACGTTTCGCCGTATGGCTTCATCATGAACATCCGAAATTGTTCTCTCATCATCATCATCCGGTGATAGATATACGACAGACATCGGCGATCATGGTTCTCCATTCATTCCTTTGCTCGGATGCTCTAAAACAAAGCTACGATTCCCTGATCTTTCGCTGTTACCCATTCGTTTAGGTTCCCTGAGTAGGTTGTTCTGGGCCTACCCCTGCCTGGTTTGCCTTCAATTTTGCCAGTGAGAGTTAGATGTTCAAGACCCTTATGTCTATTCAGGTGTCCCAAAAACGGCATTTATTGTCGTTTCCTGATTGTTTTCAACATTGAGAGTCCCACATGGGCTTCAACAAGCACTACCTCATTTAATTTCTTTTCCTTCCACGATACTCTTAGCAGTCTCCTAAGAAACCAAATCATCACCAACTTGGTGTATTTCTCAGGCACCATAGAGTCTTTAAGTGACTACGACGTAGACAAAAACCGGATGCCCGATACCGTGACCTTGACCTTAGAGGTCACGGACAAAGGGGACCTGAAGGACCAGACCGAGGTCACCCTGAATGTCTTGGACGCCAACGACAACCGGCCAAAGATCAGAGACGTGAGCAAGTCTTTCACTGTCACCGAGTGTACTTCTCCAGGTGAGGGGGCGAGGGTGAGGAGGGTTCTGGTTAGTGTTGGTTCTGGTGCTGTTAGGTGAGGGAAGGAGAGAGAGAGAAAGAGAGAGAGAGAGAGAGAGAGAGAGAGAGAGAGAGAGTGGGGTGGAGTGAGAGAGACAGACAGATAGAGAGACAGAGAGAGACAGAGAGAGTGGTGGTGGAAGTGAGAGAGAGACAGACGGAGAGAGAGGGGGAGTGAGAGAGAGATAGAAAGAG